CACAGGTAGATTTCTACGAGTAATGTCCCTTGCATTATGAGACTTGTGAAGATCCGGGGTAGAATAGGTCTTCACCAACCCATTCTTGACGTAAAAGGTGACTATGCTTGTCGTAAAAGGCGACTAACGGGATCCGGTGGTCAGGCTCGCTGACTTGGTTGATGCATGTCATCATATCTCAATTGTGTGGATCAATGCTCATGATATTAATCACTGGATTGTCTGGTCCAGACACAATTATTTACAGACCGTCGTCATATTGCTGAGTGCGGCTTAAAACAACAAACAAAACAAAAACAAAAAACTTCTAATGACAAGTAATAGAAGCATAATCTTCATTTTAAAAAAGGTTTCTTCTGATCACTAAGGTGACATAAAAAAAGAAAGGCAAAGGAGTTATAGCAGGATGCTGCGACAGACCCCTGCAATGATCAGTGTCCAGTTCCTTGTTATGCACAGATTAGCTCTCTGGACTTCCCCCAGGGTCACACAGGGCCAGACAGTTGTAAGTAATGGTGGGGGCTGACTTGAATGGAAAGGAGTGAGTGTGTTTTTCAGCTTGAAGCATGTCATAGATAGATGCACAACACAGTGGGAAAGATAAACCATAAACACTATGAAAGCAAGAATCATTGACTTAAACCTATTATCAGCGACATAGTGTGAGACACAACTATGCAAAGTGACACACCTTAAAAACCATAAGGCAAGGGGGCCCCTTTGATCAGGATAAACTGGCCTTATAGTGAGTGAGTGAGTTGGGGTTTAACACTGCTTTAAGCAATATTCCAGCTGGAAACCCAGAATGTTGGGTTCACACAATCTACCAATCTCATTAAAATCAAATCTTAGTTCTCGCTTGTGTAATCAAGGATCTGAGGACATCCCATTACCGGTCATGTCAGACCGACCTTGCACAAACTTTGACCGACCAATGGATTGACCAATCAGAAGGGAGCTTTCTTGTGCTTTACGGCACTAATTTCAAATTGGCGACTACGCTTCGAAGCATATTTTGACAAATTTTCGATTACAAATTTGTAACCTGAAACAAAAGATCATTCTGGAATGGCTAATAGATGGTCTAGATTGTATGGATTCTGTCGTTTAACCCGTAACTATCGTTCAGAATACCCCGTGTTAAAGTTTTCGAGGTTGCATGATTAGAAATCACATTCTGACTGTCACTTTCATAATCTGGTAAGCAAAGCTCTGATTAGTCGGATAAAAGGTCATTCTGACATGACCCCTAATGGGATGTCTTCAGATCTTTGTTTAGCGGTAGCGACAACTAAGGTCTGATTGCACAATCTACCTTCGTGAGAAATCAAACCCAGGCCTTCAGATGAAGAGTGAGAACTTTAACCACAAGGCTTCCCCACCACCCCAACTGACCTTATAAGCCAGTTGACAAACAAGCATAGATACACTTCAACAAAAATAAATAGTTTATTTACATATTTACAAAATTCATTGATTCAAAACAAGGTCACTAGTATACATGCATTCTGTGTCAATAACTGTTGTGGCTACTGGCCCCAATCTGGCTCTCGTCATCATTTAAGACAGTTTTAGTGTTCTCATATGGACTAATATTTCTGAGCTTATTAGATGATTCAGAATATAAACACAGAATACAAATCGACACGGGTTCTAGACACATACTCAAATCACAGATTGTACATGTCATTTTCTGTCGTGAGTGTATGAGTTTTTACTCTAGGGTTTCGATTTCAATTGGGTCATTATATTTTTCATTTGGGTAACCAATACTTTTTCACTCAACATTTCATCACTCCAAAGGTTTTTTTCCCAAATTTCTGAACATTTTATGATTGTAATGTCTTAGATGTCTATAACTGTTCTAAATATATAGGCTTGACTCGGAAAGTAAATTAGCTCGAAATTGTGTTTCACTCCATTGTACACAAGCTGAAAAAGCTTCATTGGGTATTTACGCATGCTGTTTTTATACATTTGAGTTTTTCATTTAATGCATGCATTTCTGTACGCAAGTTATTTGAAATTAACTGAGTTTTGAATATTTTAGTGGGTTTGGGGTTTGTTTGTGTTTTGGGGTTTGTTTTTTTTTTGGGGGGGGGTATTTTACGCAAGACGCTGCTTATCTGTAGCTCTGAACATTATTCCAGTCATATCACGGCATGCAGCTTAATGTGGGAGGAAAGCCCGAAGTGATGCACGTCTAAGATGTTTACCACTTTGGAAAACCGACAAACATGGGAATGCTGCTTACAAATCTAGAAACATAACCGGGGCGAACCAGAATTTAAACCCACAATCAAGGGACGCAACTCTGCACAGCAAATTCCAGCACCTTAGAGGACTGGGTAAGAAAACATATTCAGAGAATCAGGAAAACAGTTCAGAGTGACAGAGCTCACAGACGTTTTTCAACTTGCGTGAAAGCACAAGCATGCCAAAGGATTTACCGGGCTCTATGTCTAGTAACAGGGAGGACGCGTTTGGAGTGAATTGCTACTCCCGAGACAACTGGGCCACCAGTGTCCCCATTTTCACTTTAACTGGTGGTAGGAAATGATTTAATTTGTGTTCAATACTACACTCATTCGAAGAATGTTGTCGGAGTACAATGACACAATATTAAACAAATCGCTGCGCCTGACCAATCCATTGAGTAACATTGTACAAGCATAGGTTGCTGGGGCCACTTCTGGTAACCTGGAGTCCCAGGTCAGAACAACACTATCTATCAGCATAATCAAATTCCAAGGACTTTTCAACGCTCCCAACAACTCAATTGCAAGGTCATGCAAATTAAACAAACCACAAAAACAAAGTCATTCACACGTGACAATGTGGTACACCTTCCGATCAAGTTGTTAAAGTGAGTGGGTATGGCTTACGCCGCTTTTAGCAATATTCCAGCAATATCATAGCGGGGGACACCAGAAATGGAGATTTTACCCATGTGGGGAATCGAACCCGGGTCATCGGCGTGTCGAGCGAACGCTTTAACCACTAGGCTACCCCACCGCCCCTCAAGTTGTTACAGAGGCATGTATGTTAACAAAAGGAATTGATCACTTACATTTTCTTCCTGGTAAGGAACAGATTTCAACAGATTTTCTTTATGAAAAGATACTTTTAGTTAAGTTACTGGAGATGAGGATTGGTCAGGAAAACTCATGGCACATTAACCAATGTTCAAGGCGCCTTACAAGCAATATCAGTCTTCAATGACTTTTCAAGTCAAACCTCAAAACTGAACACGCTAAAGGCCTTATCAAGCCTGTATGAAGTCTGACAATCTGTGGACAGTTAGGAGAAAAACTGTGTCTTCATGGACGGAGTTAGGAGATGCAGCTGTGTCTTCATGGACAGAGTTAGGAGAAAACTGTGTCTTCATGGACGGAGTTAGGAGATGCAGCTGTGTCTTCATGGACGGAGTTAGGAGATGTACCAATGTGTTTTCAGATTTGTGAGTTATTGAGTATGTGACACCCTGAAATGCCTTTTGAACAGTATTAAAATCTCCAGCAAATTTGAAAACACATGTATATCAACAGTGCTAACACACAACCTATCAACAAACTTCGGAAGGATATTCTCTCTATGTTTGACTCTCAGGCAGACAGACATGACTTCATTCAGGAATACAATAACAGCGTGCTGGTACGTGATGACATAATGATACAATGGGTGACACGCCATAATTCTGTGATTACTGACCTCGCCTGATGTGATAAAGAAAGCCTTAATCAAACTTGTACTGATAAATATTGGTCAAACTTAATGAATAATATAATGCTATCCATTTTACCAAGTTCAGTAACATGTTTCAGAAAAAAAAAGATTTGAGTGAGTGAGTGAATGAGTTGGGTTTAACGCCGGTTCAACGCCGCTTTAAACAGTATTCCAGTTATATCAAGGCGTGTCAGCTTAATGTGGGAGGAAAGCCCAAAGTGATGTAGGTCTCAGAAGTTTACCACTTCGGTGAAACCCACGAGCACGAGCACGGGTATGGTGCTGACAAACCTAGAAAAATAATTGGGGCGAACCGGGATTCGAACCCACAATCATAGGTTTCCAACGTGCCCCCAAAAGATTAAAAAAAAAGTATTTACACAGAGTGAAAAGTCAGAGAGGATCCAGGATCCACTGCCATGTTATATGTTTCAACCAATCAGACTGCACCACACACTCCCATTCATATAACAATACCGGTATATCAAATTTCCCTACAGTGAAGACTACTTTCAAGACTTCTATGTAATTTTTTATCATCCAAAACTGACTCCTACAGTAGATATGCTTGGGTGAGATCAAGTGATATCTACATTGTAGATATTGCTGGAATGAAATTGCATCACAATGCTTTGCAGACCATTGGTTACCATGACATTACAATCAAATGACATCACTAATGCAGGGTTAGAAACTAACAGTGTTTGTCCACTAGTCCTTATAATGATAACACATAGCAAAACCCTTAAAATGGGCCAATTTCTAATAGTCCATAGGATACCTCTACCATATTTGGACTAGTGCCAATTTCTAACGCTGCTAATGGCTCTGCTACTGAAGCTGTTAGCAGTACTTTTTACACTTAAGACACTGCTTTTTACTGTCTACAAACTGAAAAAGTTGGAAGAATGATGTTGGATGATAAATAAAATCTCACCCTCGTGTCTTTCAATATAAAATATATTCGCAATGCTCCAGACGACCCTTGTCTCCACATGCGGTATATCAAGCCTCAGACATTCTATGTTTTAAGACTTGTCTAGAGGGATAGTGCAACCTTTATTCATTCATCCTCAGGGTTTGTAACTAGTCCTATTTGAATGAGACTATGTTGTTCTGTTAGCAGAGCTCCAGAAAACTTTTTGAGCAATTGAGATTTTACTCTAGGGTTTTGATATTAATTGGGTTATTACATTTTTAATTGGGTAACTAATAATTTTTCACTCATCTATTCATCACTCTATTGGATTTTTCCCAAAATTTGTGAACATTTTAAGATTTTAAAAAATGTTTTAGATATCCTAGATATATAGGCTTGACTCGGAAAGTTTTAATCAGTTCAAATATGTAGCAAAATTGAAGCATCAAGAACTGGTTTAGAAATACAGCCCTCAAATGATTCTAGTCAATGAGCTGCCATCATTGGATTTTTACTTGTCCTCAGCACAATTTAGTAGTCCAGGACTAACGGACCAGCAGGAATCTATGCATCATCCTCGGAGTCTCCTGATGGGTTTGGCGTAGATGGGTTGCATGGCGTGAGATGTCAGGTAGAGCCCCAGCCCCACCAGGACGAACAGTGCACACACAGCAATCAGACCGGACCTGTAGATGATGGCGTAGTCGTATATCTGAAACATTAAACACACTCTGTGTCAGTGAATCTGATTTGGTTGTTGTTGTTTTTTTATGAGCAGTAAGCAATATAATGGCTACATCATGGCACCTTTCAAAATATCAAACAAACTTGTTGAGTGGTTGTATACGTGTCCTAAACAGGTGAAACCCACGTACACCAGCATGTTGACAAACTAAGGATCGTAAACAGGTTGACAGCCAAAGGAAAAGCAACAGCTCGGCAGATCCTGTCATGACTAAGGGAAGAAACTCTGCATAGCAACTCCTTACACAGCTGTGCTTCCCCAACTTCCAATGATTTAACAAACCAAATCACCATGAAAGGAAATACAATGTAAACATAAGGCAGCACCAGTCTCTGCCAAAAATGAGTCTACTAGCCCGAACTTGGCTCCAAATATTTTTAGTATAGTTTAGTGTTATCATATAGTATTTCGTAAGCTGAGCTAACAAGACCAAACAGAATTTTGCTAGACTCTGTCTTATGACGAGTGGCTAGTCACAGAAAGCTATAAATCTTCTTGGCACCATGCCTTGCTGGTGTGGATTGTTAATCAGGTACTCTGTGCCTGACTAAGTGAGTGAGTTTTAACACTGTTTTGAAAAGTATTTCAATTACCGTATTCGACGTAATAAGCGCCCTGGGCGCTCTCAAAATTAGAAATAGGGGGCTCTTATTAGAATATTATTTTGGTGAAAAAAAAACAGAGTTGAAAGATAAATTTCATGGTTTATGCTGACAGCCTGAAATGTTTATGTACGACAGATATATTTTTCCAGAATTTAATTCCCCATAATTAACGGTGCACATAACACACGAGTATGTGTACATTGATCAATCAGAAGAAGTGTTAATTGGGATTGTTCACTAGCCAATATATTAGCAAATGTCGAGTCGGGCGCTTATAAGAGCGGGGCGCTTATTAAGTCGAATACGGTATATGACTGCAAGTCAGCTTGATGTGGGATGCAGGTCTTAGATGTTCACCACTGTGGTGAAACCCACAAGCCCGGGTATGGTGTTGACAAACATGGACTGGGCCATACGTGCCCACAAACAGTGTGAATACTGCACATTGTGGCTGAAAGGAACCTCTTATCCTGAAGAGTACCGAGAAAATAGCTGAATATTTCCTTGGTTACTATGTTGTTTTAATATAGGTTTCGGAAGATTTTTTTTTTAATGACCCAATATTTGGTTTTCTTACATAATGGATCATGTTATCCATTCTGATGCATAGCAAATAAAGTCACCAGCTTCAACTAAATGTACTTTGTAGCCCCATACATCAATGCAATGTCTGCTTGGTCAATGAACTATTGACGATCATTCTTTATAGGTTTTGATAGGGGATGCAAATCATTTGGGGCATTTCACTCAAATACTGTACACAGTTTCTAAAGTTAATCAATTGAGCAATATTACCTCTTAAACATTGATGATTTTAAGAATGACATCACATGAAAAAGAGATTATAACCGTCATGTGTTTCTGTTTTATATATATAATATGTTAGGAATACACATATATACTGTGAAACAACTGTTGTGTCGAACTTTTACGTGTCAAAGTTATGGTTGTCTAAAATAAAAGCTTGGCCTCTGTGTATTCCTTCATTATTCATCATTATTTAAACTCTGATGTTATCGGTCAACGAAGTTAACAGGTGGTCATGGAGAAAAGACGTACTACACATCTACAACTCCTTCGTATAATGAATCGATGGTCGCTGGTGGCCATATAATTTATAATGCTTTTTATTGATATTTTGGAAAATGTGCCTGAGGAAATTGAGCTTGAATTTCAGAAATTCAAAACATGAAGAAGAGAAGATATTTCAGACGTTTATTCTGCCAAATTGCCAAATCCTGTGAGATTTTTCTTCCATGTTTGATTGTTTCCATTGTTTTATGCCTCACTCAGCAATAATACAGCTGTGTAATGGTGTCATGTAAATAATCGTCATCTATACAGGCCAGATAAACAGAGTTAGAGCTTAATACTAGCTGCTAGCCTAGGGCTAGTACAAATTAATGCAGGCTACTACAAATTTACCAATTGTTTAACATTACCAACCAGTGATAACTATTTTGAGTAACAGTCCAATGGTGAACATTGGAAGTTCGGAACCCTCTTGAACTATGCTTACCCCAAGGAGCAGGACAGCGTGACTACAACCACAGGACCATGAAACTAATAATAATAATAATAATAATAATAATTAACAAACTCGCCAAAAACTCGTAGACGAGGCCGTACACGGAACAGTTTTGCACATATGTTTATGGTGATAGATGAAAGATGAAGCTTTTAAAAACAGGCAAAAAATCGAAGCAGGGTAGCTAGTTTAGAATCTTCCATTGAATTCCTTCTCGACCTTTGGCCTCGTCTATGGGTTTTTTAGCGAATTTGTTAATTAGTATTATTAGTTACATGGACCTGGGTTACAACCTACCTTCACTTCATCCTCCGCTGAGGGTGTCTGTGGTTCTCGGGGGATGAACACAAGAACTATTGTCAGGAATCCCCCGATAAAGATCATCACTGGTCCCATGTTGCTGGAGAGAAAAGAAACGAACATATGGCATTTGTTTGTTCGTTGTTATATGTAAATAAATCGTGTTAAAGACCACTCTCATTTGCCGCATCACCTAGATATATTGGTATTGGTGTATCGATGTATTAGGGCCTATTTGAAGGAGATGCACAACATTTTATCATTGTAACAACAGGTCCTGCTGGTCAAAAAATAATTAATTGATTTTGAGTTTTTTATCCATACTAAATTACATGGAATCTGACCATATTTGTTCGTGATTATAGCCGGGTCAGTTTATGCCAAACATGTCTGATTTGTGTCAAGATTGGTGTAAGTTTTATGATGATAGCTTAACAACACTCACGAAATCGCTGTTTGCGCCCTTGAAAACACAAGGCAGAGTAAAATACATAATGTCCAGATGAAGGCCAGAACGAATAGACCCTCTCCAACTCCAAGAACCCTCGCCATTTTCACCAGGATCAAACCAAACACACCGCCAAAATCGAACTCATGTCAGAACAGCGTCCTTAGTGAACAAACATGGCGGCGACAGGTGCTCGGTTGTAACGGCAAATTTCATTGGTCGGTTAGCGGGCATTCACTCTTGAGTCTGATGTTGTGTATTTTAAGACGTTTCAATCAATCCACATGATGTTGTCGCCTAATCAATGCTGTTAGATTTTCATTAGGAAACTAATAATTCATATCGAACTTTTTCGAGCGGAAAATCAATTTAATGTCTTAACAATATTGGATAAAGTTTCAAACATGACGTTACAGAAAAATCTGACGAATGCTTTTTTAAACTTTATTTTACATTTTACTTCAGGACCCACTTGCACAAAACGATCTTAGCGCTAAGACTATTGTAAGCCTATGTTAAAGTATGGGAGTTAAGATCATCTTAGCGCTAGTGCAAGTGGGCCCAGGCGTGTTCATTATTTTGAAAGAGAAAACTTTATCAGCACATCCACCCCCCTCTACACCAAACATATCAACATATTTGTTTAAAACGTTGTCAAGGGGACATAGTTTTTTATTGACACATTTGCCATTAAAACAATTATCATCACAATCCGAGTTGGCATTTGACCTGTTTGTTGTTTTGGGTGGTGGTAATGTGTATGCCAGGTATGTCACTCGGGCTGGTAAATATAATCCAGGCTAAAAATCTGGAGATACAAATTCCCCCCATTTTGCTTTACAAGCCTGGATTATTAACTTAGGTGTATAAATGTTCGATATTTAATAAAAAATAAACTATCTTCCTATTTGAACTTTTTATCCTCTTATCTACTGATATGTAATGAACCAAAATAGCTTGTCAGGCCAAAAAATTGCCAGTTCTACTTGAAGGCGGGCGTGTCTAAATAACGGAATAGGCCTACATTTGTCTAAATATTGTCTAAACTGTATGTTTCTTCGAGTGAGTGAATGAGTGAGTGAGTTGTAAATTTTAAGCCACATTGGTTCAGCCGTATCGTGACAAGCGCAAGTTATACACTAATAATAATACCTAAACCATGTAGACGATGGACAGTGAAATAACTAGAGTAGCGCAGATTTTATTAGAGCAATAATCAAGTTCTGTCTATTATTTGACATGACAATATCAAACAAGGCTATTGATCGCCAACAACCAAAGGAAGTGATCGCGGGGACTCACGGTATATCTGCTACCTGCATGGTACCCCATCAGGACTTACACCAACCCTCCAGCTACTGGCGATTATTAGAAGGACAACCCGAAAATTACGATCACATATATTCTACGATTAAAGCCATGGACAGAAGAAAATTAATTTGAATGATGTGTCCTTACATATCCTCCCAGGGGGACATTTGTACACTACTTCTATCCTCTTCGGGGGGACATGGTGGGGCCCAGTCATCTGAGGCGCAGCAATTTGCTGTGGAAAAGTTGCGTCCCTTGGCACGCCAGGAACCTCGGATTGTGGGTTCGGATCCCGGTTCGCCCCGATTGTTTTCAGCACCAAAAGGTGCTGATGGGTTTAGCCAAAGTGGTAAACGTCTGAGACCTGCGCCACCTCGAGCTTTCCTCCCACATTAAGCTGACACGCCCTGATATAACTGGAATTCTGTTATAAGCTGCGTTAAAAGCCTTTCGATGGTACAGCCACTAACAATCTCTTATAAACATTTTTTTCTAACCAAATTAAAAGTTTAAGTGAGTGAGTGGAGTTAACGTTGAACATCATATCCGCAATATCACAACATCTAAGACGAATGTTCGAGTCCCGGCCGCGTCATACCAAAAGACTTTAAAAGATGGCACTCGGCGTTAAGGGGCTAAAACAAGTACTGGTCGGCTCGGAGTCAGTATACTGTGTCTGAGTAGGGTATTTATGTTAAACTGCGGGATGATATCTCAGTGGGCTAGCACTATAAATCGGCATCAGTCCGGGCTAGTACAGGCAGCCACACATACACACGTGCATGCACGTCGCTATATAAGTGTTATACTCGTGGACGCAACGTTAAACTCCATTTCACCTCATTACTTGGGACCGATGACATGCATCAACCAAGTCAGCGAGCCTGACCACCCGATCCTGTTCGTCGCCTCTAACCACAAGCATGGGTTACTGAAGACCTGTGTATTTCAAGGTGTAAAATCACTCACAACTTGGTCATAAGGAGACATCAATAAACAGAACTCACACCATAGCCGTGTTGACGTCATTCAACGAAGCACACACCTCTGTTAAACATGTGGGGAAATACATTGTGACCCCAAAACCCGAAAAATTGAACTTGTATTTTGAAACAAGAGCTGTGAACAATCCTAAATTTCTCCAGAGAAAGTTCTGATAATATAGTGATGTACGCTCTCAAACAAACCCTGAAATATTTGCTTCGTTTTAATTCAATTTATGACTCAGAATTCAACAGAAAACATTGCCCTACCTTGAAAACACATCTTCCTGAGGCAAGAGCATTAACTGACTTTTATAGTCAGTTAATGCCCTTGCCTTGGGAAGATGTGTAAACAAAGTATGTCGGTATTCTAATTTTCTTCAAGCCTTCAGAATTTGTATGAGTGAGTGAGTGAGTGAGTGAGTGGGTGAGTGAGTGAGTGAGTGAGTGAGCGAGCGAGCCAGTCAGTGGTCTTACACCACTTCTAGCAACATTCCAGCAATATCACATCAGTGAATCTCTATGAGTAATAAACACACCAATCAAAAGAAAACAAGAAACACTTTTTAACACAAATACGCATTTATTCACCTCTGATAATGATGCACCTAGCAAAAATAGTATCACATTGTCCATGGAGCATGGAGATGAAATAAACACAGACATTCCACACAGCTGGCATAACAATATATACAAACAGCTGTACAGAAACACCCAAAACATACCCAGCAGTGCCCCTACAAACAGCTGATGATGCAGAATTCTTTTACCAGAACATGTTCCTATTGCTAACAGAAACTGATCATTGCTTCTTGTGACTGAAGTCAGATGTTAATATATACTACTCCGCTCTTGATAGGAACATGTTTATCTTTCCATGACACACATAATGATTCTCGTGTCAAGTGTGTATTTTAATATATGACCTATCTGATTATCCCTGTCAAAAGTTGAGTAGTATTAATATATATTTATATGATAACGACAAATATGCCTTAAACATGCTTTCACTGGAGTCTAATGATTAAATTCTTATATTTCGGAAATATTGATCCATGAAGTATCTTTTGGCATGTTACATTTGATTTCTCTTAGGTTTTTAAAACATATAAGATTTATAACCTTTTGAAACATAATTAAAATTTATATTGTTTAAATTTTAGTCACTGGCGTCTAATGATTAAATTCTTATTGTTTCGGAAATATTAATCCATTAAGTATCTTTTGGCATGTTACATTTGATGGCTCTTAGGTTTTTAAAAGATTTAAGATATATAACCTTTTGAAACATAATTAAAATTTATATTGTTTAAATTTTAGTCACTGGCGTCTAATGATTAAATTCTTATTGTTTCGGAAATATTAATCCATGAAGTATCTTTTGGCATGTTACATTTGATGGCTCTTAGGTTTTTAAAAGATTTAAGATATATAACCTTTTGAAACATAATTAATAAATTTATATTGTTTAAATTTTAGTCACTGGCGTCTAATGATTAAATTCTTATTGTTTCGGAAATATTAATCCATGAAGTATCTTTTGGCATGTTACATTTGATGGCTCTTAAGTTTTTAAAAGATTTAAGATATATAACCTTTTGAAACATAATTAATAAATTTATATTGTTTAAATTTTAGTCTCAACTTTAAGTCTCCAAGAATGAAAGGACCCAAAAGTCTCTACTAGGTTACTTCTTCACTTGATGGGTACAAAACCTGTCTTGATATAAATCTCCTGCAGCATCAGTAACATTATAAACATTGTAATTCTCAACAAAAAAATTATTGTTCTTATTTATATCACTTAACCATGTTTTTGCAATCATATTTCTATTTTGATCAAGGGTTTTTGAAAATTCTGTTAAACAAATTCTAAGAAGGGTCACTGTATGTAAACATTATCGCATGCAAACCATTAATAACAGTAGTTTAATAATGAATTTCTTCAGCTGTTTGACACTGCATCCTGTCTGATGGTTAACTTGTGATTTTTATACCCCACAATATCACCAAGCTATCAGTCTACTGTTACAGACCAATTGTTTTTTTTCACGTTTGTTTCATGACTGTTTTTCACGTTTTCAAATGGACATATATAACTAATTAAAACCCAAATCCATTTGAAGAAAAATATGCCACTTAACAAAAATATTTATCTCAATTTCAATAACATTTTTTAACAAAATCATTGTTGATCTGACTTAAGATAAGATAAAACTAAAAAAATATTTTCACTCAAAAATGAAATTGCCCAGCAAATGAAGCACCCGAACATGTCTATATTGTTCGTACTAATCACCTATCGGAAGGAGAGACATCACAACACCCCCTCAGCAGTTTTATTGTGATGCCCCACACAATCTATATACAATACCCACTAAACACATAAGGCCTTGCAGTGATGTACATATGCAATATACGTCTACAACAGAGATTTATTGACGTACAGAGTCCCGTTCCACAACGCGATCTTCGCGCTGAGATGATTGTAACTCCCATACTTTATAATAGGTTTATGGTAGTCGTAGCACTGAGATCGCTCTGTGGAATGGGTTCTTAAGACTTGTAGCTGAAGAAAGGTATGGAATTGTTATACAAAACCAAAAATACTTGTGTTCCCTGCAATCAGGCAGAATCAACACTTATACATTTACCGTATTTGACGTAATAGGCGCCCACGGCTATATTTGCTAATATATTGGCTTTTGAACAATTCCAATTCCTTCCGATTGATCAATGTACACAAGACTTATTTATTCGTGTATAATACGCAATCATGTGTTATATGCACCCTTAAATAGGGGCAATTAAATTCTGAAAAAAAACATTTCTGTCGTGTATGATACACACAGACTTTTCTTTTTAATATTTCAGGCTGTCAGCATAAACCACAAAATTTATGATCTTTTTTACTTTTCACCAAAATTTTATTCTAATAAGAGCCCCCTATTTCTAATTTTGAGAGCTCCCTGGGCGCTTATTATGTCGAATACGGTGTATAATTTTTGCTTCTTTTTTGTCTTTTACCAATGGATAAAGATAAGGATAAGTTTTGTTCCACACTGAAAGGCCTCAGGCCCATAGAACAATTCTGTTTTGGGGAGTGGTGACAGATATGTTTAACAGGTCATATTCTAACTAACATAGCATGATAGCTGAACATTGATAGTTTTTTCACCCCCAATGGAATCTGTTTTGTCAGGTAATCAAGCCTGGCCAAGCCAACATCCACAATCTGTCTTTAAAAGAACGTGGCCAAACACTGGTGTTAGAATATGCAGAGGGAGTTCCTGTCTGATCCATCAGACACAATAATGCTGATGAGGCAGAGCATCTGACCATGGATGAGGTGGATGAGGAGTGAAAGACAACAACACTGTAGTTCTGGATGTCACTCTGTGACCTACCACACTGTCTCCGACTGCATAGAGAAAGGTATTACTTTTGACACAGGTTGAGAAGAAACATGTCTTAGAGCAGTGTGACACAAACTGTCGTTAATCCTCAGCTGTCACAGATTCTGGAGATTCCATTCATGTTGCTATGGAAACCTGAAATAAAAATTTCCAGGTGTGAATGATAGTCAAGAGAACATAATAACTTGCGAACTTGTCATTTTTGACTCACATCCTGCCAAAATGAGTGAGTGAGTGAATTGTGTTTTACGCCGCTTTTAAAAGTATTCCAGTTATGTCGCGGCGTGTCAGCTTAATGTTGGAGGAAAGCCCGAAGTGATGCGGGTATTACGTTTACCACTTCGGAGAAACCCACGAGCACGGGTATGGTGCTGACTAACCTAGAAACATAATCGGAGCGAACTGGGCGATTTCTGGCTTGCCCAAGGGACGCATCTCTGCCCCCCTGCCAAACTGAAACCTTGTCAATTATGTTTTAATTGTTTGTATCACCACCTAAACATAGTCAAAAGACTTAGCTGGGGTGTTTGCTTGTCCAGCTATATGAAGGTGGGCAGGAAATACCAGTGACAGAGTCTGGACCAGACAAGCCAGAGATTGATATAATGAGCAACATCATGGTACAATGACACACAATAAATAGCATCATGAATCCTGACCACCTGATATATTAAGTCGCCTCGGATGACAAGCTCAGGACCAAGGCTAGCCCCTGAGGATGAGGCAGAAGAAGTCTTAGTAGGTGAGGTGAAATTGGGTTTAAGCGAGTGAGTGAGTTGGGTTTAACACCGCTTTTAACAGTATTCCAGTTATATCACGGCGTGTCAGCTTAATGTGGGAGGTAAGCCCGAAGTGATGCAGGTCTCAGATGTTTACCACTTCAGTGAAACCCACGAGCACGGGTATGGTGCTGCCAAACCAAGAAACAGAATCGAGGTGAACCGGGATTCGAACCCACAATCATAGGTTTCTGGCGTGCTCAAGGGACGCAACTCTGCACAGTGAATCGCGGCGTCTTAGACGACTGGGCCAGCCGTGCTCCCGAAATTGGGTTTAAATAATGCTTACAACAAACTATTTCAAAAATCCTGATTGTCTTAAAATACACAAAGATATAAAACTCATGCAAGTAACAAACCAAAGACTATAGCACAAGGACAAGAGTGCCTTCATGTAGCTCCTGAATTTCAGTCACAACAACCATGGCTAACATCATAACTTTACAGTGAAACCCTGTCTTTTAGAAAACTACTAATTTTACATATCACCAAACATCCTTGATTATCCAGCGCATTTAGTCTACCCTGGACACATCCACCAGCAACGTCAGCATCTCCATCTCTTGTATCATCAACTTAGCCACTGTCGCTCATTAATTTGAAATCACCAACCAATCAAATTGCCTCTTCTGAATGCGAGTTGGGCATACATGTGTAATCAAAATCGTGGCCTCATTGTTATACAAATGAGTCCCATCATTGCAAAGCGATGGAGTTAACTGATGATACAGTCCAGTTTCTTCCCTTGCTGAACTGGGGTTGTATTTTAGGGATTGATCGTAGTGGCACAAGTGGCTATTACGAGTCAACTCCCTTCTATGTCCCTCCTATTGACCAACCAGATTCAACCTCTCATATCATTTGCATTTGCTTTAAACAAAATGGCATCACCCAGTCAAGATGATCTGAATGAAAATCAAGATCTATATTGTAATGAAACGGGTTTTCCCTCAAGAAGTGCATCAAATCACATCCTTGATCAATGATATGAAAACATGTGGAAAATGTCAACGCCCAGTTGACTGTACACATGCCTAGCAAATCCTGCAATTGACCAAAATCTAAATGGCAGTCAACATGTTGTTTAGGGATGTCAATTTTGTTCACAATTTAGTATTGGACTATGCATTAGGCCAGCGAAAATATAACTGAGTAATTGCAGCCTAGTTCAGCAAGGGTGGAAAAGGGACTTCTATAGTCAGTAACTCCACGTTCCTCTGGAAGGTTAGCAAGCGATATACTTAATATAAGAAGAAGTCTGTTAAACTTGAGAAGATAATTTCATGAGTATTAGGCTTAAAAAAATAAAAGAAATGGTTCTTAGGCAATGGCTTGCAGGGGTGCGGGGGAGTTCAAGCTAATATGTAACCAAAGTTTGTATACAATAATTTTGACCAAATCTTGTTGATCTTAAGTATTGAAGCATTTCACTGCCGGGGTCGTGGGTTCGAAACGCAGGATATTTAAGGACTTTAAGTTTTCTTTTGAAAATAAGAACGAAACGTGTGGCGGACTTCATGATGATGCAGGCGGTGCCTGAGAACCAAGACTATTATTTTCTTTAGCCTTAAGACAGGGAGAAAGAAGGTCATTGTATTCTGCACGATGTTCCCAGGTGTATTTGAGAAAAAAACTCATCAAGACAAGTACTGGTGACAGTGTACATGTTTCAACCATGAAAGTAGACTGGATGACTTTTCGAAACATTGTCATTTGAACCAGATTCAATACAAATTCAGGTGGTGAATGGGTTGAGGGTACACATCATAAAAGAATGAAGATACGCTGGATAATGAAGTATGTTTCTATCCTCATGAACTGTAAACTTTCACTGTCAATGTTAGCAGTTAGACAGACACACAACACAGCAAGGCAACTATATAAGGGAAGGCTCAATACTTGGCCTGGTGAAAGTTATGCTACTGAGTAGAAAAAGGGATCCTTTCTGTGAAAGTCTTGTATAGGAAGTGGCACACACAGAGAATAACTACAAGCCAAAACTACACACTTAATAATGTTGTGTGATGTGATGGATTTGATGTGTGATGAGATGTGATGTGATCACCGACGTGATGTGTGTAGGTGTGTGAGTTTGTGCAAATGTGACGTGATGTGATCATGGTGACGTGGGGTCACCGACGTGATGTGTGTGTAGGTGTGTGAGTGTGTGCAAATGTGACGTGATGTGATCATGGTGACGTGGGGTCACCGACGTGATGTGTGTGAGTGTGTGCAAATGTGACGTGATGTGAGTATGTGATGTGGCTATGTACAAACATGTGATGCGAGTATGTGATGTGACTGTACAAATGTGATGTGTGACATGACGTGATGTGATGATATTCAATGTGATGCAGTGTGATAACTAAGGCTAAAAAAATAAAAGAATTGGTCCTCAGGCAACAGCTTTTGAAAATATAGTACGGGCAGGCAGTGGTTTTTTGGGTGTGTCGCGTTTGGTTGTTCAAACTAGTATGAAACCAAATAAACAGTTGTGTTACCAAATAAACAGTTGTGTACAATCAACCTGGGAAAGGGCCTCCCTACAAAAATGTATTCTGGAATACAGTATTTGACTACAGTTGGACATGGAGTATTTAAGGATTTCTTTTGGTATTTTTTAAAATGGAAATATAAATGAAAGTATGGGAAACTTTTATGATGGCGTGTGCAGTGCCTGAGAACCAAGATTATTATTTTTCTTAGCCTAAGATATGATGTGATGTTCAGCAACAGAAGGTAATGACTGTATGTACCGGTGTAAAACAATGAGTTAGTGCAAGGGAGACAACTCAGACAACTTGAACCTCGTCCATGTCGATGTCGAAAGCCTCAGCCTCTTCAGCTGTCACATGCAGAGTGGCGTGCAGCATGATGACGAAAAAGGAAGCACCTGCAGAGAGAATCACCATGGCAACTAGTCATTGGAATTGGTTCAACTTTCAATATTGATTGGTTTGAAAAGCTGTCAATGATTGATGAATGATTGTCCCACATGAAAACATTCTAAACAAGAGCATCATTTCTCTCAATCATTCATTTAAGGATAATATAAATAAAACAGCAAAACTCTTGAAGCGATTCTTTACTCTGCAACATGATCATAGTTACTAGTTACAACATTAGGCAAAGAAAAAAATAGTCTTGGTTCTCAGGCACCTCCCACATCATCATAAAGTTCGCTGCTCGTTTTTATTTCCATTTAAAAAATTTTTTAAATCCTTAAATGTTCCAAGTCAAACAGTAGTCAAATACCGTATTCCAGTATTTTACTCATCAAGGAATACATTTATGTAGGGAGGCCCTTCCCCAGGTTGACTTTACACAAATGCATATTGATAACACAACTGTTTATTGGTTACATACTAGTTTGTACAACCAAAAAAAAAAAGACACCGCCCGCCCGCACTATATTTTCAAAAACCATTGCCTGAGAAACAATTCTTTTATTTTAGTATCCTGTCTATGAAGAAGTTGGCTTACACACCACAGATAAGAGCACTTACAAGTATCATGATACGTATCGGATCGTGAACAAGCTATCGTGATATGTATCGGATCACACAGTTGGTGTATCGTCCCAGCCCTAATAAACATGGAGCCACAGTCACTGTAGCTCACCAGAATTAGGAGGAAGTCATGGAGATAAAGTCCATGAGTCTCCAGGCCTAGAATCCCATTTCACAATGTAGTTCAAGCAATCAGTTTATTACATTTCACTACAAAAATAAACTGCCAATGTAATCAATACAGATGAAGCTACAGCAGGTTCCAGTACTGACCTATGACCCAGAAGACAGCGGACCCCGCCCCTGCCAGCCAGAATAGGGGGAAGGAGAGCACCCCCACACATGCGTACTGCTGGGCCACCGTCACCTCCCGCCCTGCAACACAAGACACACACCTTCATTTTTTTGGTTTGGTTTGTTGTTTAACGCCGCACTCAGCAATATTCCAGCTATATGACGGCGATCTGTAAATAATCGAGTCTGGACCAGACAATCCAGTGATTGACAACATGAGCATCGATCCACGCAATTGGGACTGATGACATGCATCAACCAAGTCAGCGAGCCTGACCACCCGATCCCGTTAGTCGCCTCTTACGACAAGCATAGTCACCTTTTACTGCATGCATGGGTTGCTGAAGACCTATTCTACCCCGGATCTTCACGGGCCCACACACCTTCAGTAGGTGGGACAGACAATATGTATTACATTTACATGGTCGGTGGCCTTTTGGGTAACATGGAAGAAAAAGACATTTGCCACTGAAAATCCAAATTTGTTTGTTTGTTGTTACATCCACTGACAATATTTCATGAGGGAGCAAGTTTTGGATGTATGGGCATTGGTAGGGGCATTGTATGCGTGTTTGTTTGTTTATTTGTTTAACTCCGTACTCAGCAATATTCCAGCTATATGATGGTGGTCGGTAAATAATCAATCTGGACCAGACAATCAAGTGATTGACAACATGAACTTGGATCAACGCAATTGGGATACGATGACATGCATCAACCAAGTCAGTGAGCCTGACAACCCGTTCCCGTTAGTCACCTCTTTCGACAAGCATAGTGTTTTTTTTACGGCAGGCATGAGGTGCTGAAGGCCTATTCTACCCCAGATCTTAACGGGTTATTCACATTATTATTAAAACATTTGCCACTGAAAATCCAAGGACGTATGAATTCACGGATAAATACAAAACATTTGCCAACAAAAACCCAAATTGGCCGTATGTATTCGGGAACTTGGATGACAGACATCATACATTACAAATAGGGGCACGGATATATGGCTGAAACTATTTTCAGTAGTTCTCACTGAGCATTATACTTTTGCTTCAAGCTGACTGGATAATTACTTGCATTGTTGTCATTGTTTGTGATCAGGCCCATAGCAACGGGACAGTTCATCATTCTATAAGAATGCCTAAGTGTTTTCAGATTTTCAGATATTCCCCCTAGTCTCTCAAACTTGTTTGTTGTTTAACGCCTCACTCAGCAATATTCCAGCTGCAGGACAATGGCCTGTAAAAAAATCATGTCTGGGCCAGACAATCCAGTGATTGATATTATGAGCAACACAAAACAGTGTTGGGGTACGATGACATGCAATGAACCCAGTCTGACCATCCAATCAATGGCCTCCTATGACTAAGTTGCTGGGGACCTGTTCTTACCCGGAATTGACACAGGCAGTGAATTAAGGTGTCACATGAGTCCGCAACAACTCGGCCGACATGTGTGATTCCTGTATCCACAATTATGGTGTTGTAGAAAGTAAAATGTTGCTGTGTTGTCATGTCGCCTGTCTTGTACCTACCTAGTATGGCCAGTTTCTGGGTGGCGTTTTTGAGACTGATGATGTAACAGGCTCCAAGGCAGGCAGCCAGAGCCACCAACAGCATGGGAGACGTCAATCTGAAACATGAGACGATGAGCAGGGTTAAAGTTGCACTGTGTTTCAGTCATATTGCAGCTTCATGTGGGAGAAGAAAGTGAGTGAGTGAGTTGGGTTTTACGCCGCTTTTAACAGTATTCCAGTTATATCACGGCGTGTCAGCTTAATGTGGGAGGAAAGCCCGAAGTGATGCAGGTCTCAGACATTTACCACTTCGGTGAAACCCACGAGCATGGGTATGGTGCTGACAAACCTAGAAACATAATCGGGGCGAACCGGGATTCGAACCCACAATCATAGGTTTCTGGCGTGTCCACGGGACGCAACTCTGCACAGCGAATCGTCGCGCCGTAGACGACTGGGTCACCCGTGCCCCCGGGGGAAGAAGGGAAATGATAAACTAATATACACTTTATAGTACCATGATACAGGTCCTCGTTTCAACATTTGGCGAGGTTAGGGGTGGAACCTCTGCACCCTGCACAGGGGGACTTACACACAGAAGATGACGAGGCCCATGAAGACAAACAGATAGTTCCCCTGGAAGTTCTCGATGTTTTTCATGACTCTCTTGGGAATCGGGGCCACTGTTTTGGGGAGCCGGAACTTGGAGGTGTTGATGAACTCGCCCCATGGCTTGACCCCCTCCCGCGTCTTGGAGAACCATTCCCGGACCGCGATGTTTGACACAGACATAGACATCATGCTGGAAGATGAAGCACACAATATGGTCTTACACTGAACATAACTTATGTACCTTTTGTTGAAAAAAACAAAACTCCATTGCAAACATAAGACATTAATACAACATATATCCCCATGTTATGGGTTTTTGGACGCTGAAGAAACATTCATAGTTTTCTCGCTAATCACATGAACAACTGCAAAACATGTCATTCACTTGCTTAAAGACAACTTTATCTTAAAAACAAGCCATCATCTGACTCTGAGTATTTACAATTTCTGTGTGACGCCACACCCCATGTTATATTGCAAGTATTTGTGATAAAAAACGTTTGTCCGAAAACATATGCTGCTGAAAGCTCTGATCGAAAATAGGACAATCCTCGACGATTGTCCGGTTTTCGATCATATTTTTCTAAGTGTTTTTTTTTAATCTTTGATTATATTTTTACGCGGAAGATGATTTTTCCCGAGGACTACTGTTTTAAAAAACGCGATTTTCCGCGTTTCCACGTAGATGTCACATCCCTGCATAAGAGTTCAAGCATCTAGATCAATAACTTTCTGGTACCTGCACATGTGCATTTTGTAATTCTACATAACACATTTGGATTTACTCGAAATACTGTAAATCTTTAAAGGTATGTTCTCCCCCTGGGAGATCATACTGGGGTTGGGGGTCGTCATTCTGGGGTTGGAGGAGGTCATACTAGGGCTAAGGAAGGTCATTCTGGGGTTGGGGGAGGTCATACTGAGGTTGGGGGAGGTCATACTGGGGTTGGGGGAGGTCATACTGGGGTTGGTGGAGGTCATTCTGGGGTTAAGGGAGGTCATACTAATACTGAGTCACAGTTTGGGCTGGGGGTCAGCTGTCACATTATTTTTAGAGATTTTATATATGTTGTGTGTTCAGTTTCGTGTTTTGTTTAACAGGTTCGAAATACTTAACCAAAAACTACCTCAGTAGGTCAGGCACAGTGACAGTGGACCATAGTACATTTACCACATGTTTGTTTACTTCATTTCAAGAAAACCGTACAAACGTCAAAATATGTCAACGTCAATTAAGTGGTCATATAATGGCCTCTTGTCCAATTGGAAAAGTTGAATATCATGTTAACTACACATTGATAAATTATTCCAGGTAATAAGTAAATCTTTATCAAGTTTTGCCAAGAAATATGGCTACTGCACATAAGGTTAAATAATTGGGTGCTGATCACAAGGTAAACAGGCACGAATTATTTGTTATAGCTTCCATGGTAAAGAGTTGCCTAAGTAGATTAACTTGTTAGCCTAGCTTCAAACTGGCAATGCAAGTTCAGTCCTCTGCACACCTCTAATTGAAATCCCAAATATTGCCCAGAAGAGTGCTGGTTGAATCCTAAAATATGCCTTGCAAATCTGAACGGGATGATGATTGGGTAGGTTTTGAAAGTAAATAATGAAAGATCGTCTGTTTACTCTCCTGGCCTAATTCAAGATTCACAAACAAAAACGCTAAATTTGATTAAAATATTTTGTATTCTAACATAACGTTGAGCTGATGTAAATCCTTGAAACGAAAGTGTAAACTTGCCAACGTGCCAATTAAAAGTAAACCCGTGACAATTTTCTTGCTTGTCAGGGCAGAGACTCAGGGGTGTTGGCTTCGTACAGAGCAGGTAGATCTAGGGCCAAAAGTAAGGTTGACTGGAAAAGCTATGTCAGTACCAGGCGAATGAAGTCATGGGTTCAAGCTGCTGTACGTTAACAAGTAGTATACAAAGCAATACACACCGTTGCTTAAAACTTTGTGATGCTGGTTCAATGAGTGGAATATCGATGTTCCCTTCCAGTCCTGACTTTTCGGCCATGTCAACAAATACACTCCATCAGTGTGAACTGGCAACGTGGAAGTGACATCAGTAAACACACAAATTTATGACGTATCTCACATTAGTTCATGACCCGGATAAACCGCTTTGGGCAAAATATGGATTAACGAGTTTCGTAGAAACTACTTTCAAAAACCATTGAAATTCACTGAATATATGTTGAAAAAGGTCACTCAATTAGTTTAGTAAAATGATTTGATTTTGAAATGTAACGATTTCAGCTAGGACAAGCACATTAGCGCGTATGTAGATATTGTCCAACATGGAAAAACATAACTCTGAACCAACCGCTAGACTGGTACACTGCCCTTCCCATCAGCTGGCGGCTGCGTGGCTGCATATTGTGCGCAACAGAGTCAGAGGACCAGTCTGCTTTTTGGAGACAATCGCAGAAACTAATGACGTATTTCACTCTTCCGATGAAAATCTTACAATAATAGCAGCTGATTCATCTGGGACACTATGTCACAAGTTTGAATGACGTTATCTTTTCGCATCAAACAGGTCGACAGTAGGTAAGCATCACATGTCCATAGTGTTTCAAATGCTAGTTTACTTGAAATAACTAATGTCTTTTTTCCCCAAATTTTCATTTGCATTTTGTTTGTTTACGAACGCCTAAAGTTTAAAGGTATCGTGTTACGCGTAAACAATGCACTGTGCAGTCACTCTAGGAACCAGCCTATTAGGCCTAGTCTTCAGCGACGCTTAATTAGCTTGCGGTTTGCACGGAACTCACAGACTTTTGTTGTAGAGGTCTCGGAGTGAAAATATGGGAATCTGCAAAAAAAAAAAGGTTCCCAGAGATCACCTGATGTTAGCGGGTAGGGAATACCTATGTCGTTATGCGTTATCATCACTGTTAATTTAGGATTAACCTTTTTTGGGTTCATTGAGGTCATTTATGCACAAAACTTCACACACCTGCAAATTTTTTAAGTCAGCAGCAAGTCAAGGGAGGGTAGCATCAAACAAAGTTCAAAGGACCTGTCAATCAAGGCAAGAGTCGAGGAGAACTGCATCAGTCAAACCTTAACAAACCAGAACAAATATGTCCGGGAGGAGGCGGCTGTTTTGAGAACAAGAAGATACAGTTGGAAAAATACAAGTTAAAAATGAAACCCTAAGACATGAAATTTGTGGAACCCAGGCGAATGAAAAAATATGGCAGGCGAGCGAGCCTGCCTGTTTGCTGTTTCATTCCTTCTCAGCTTTCGGTCTTAGAGAGTAGTTTGGATGATGAACATGCATAAATTTTGCTAAAATGGCAGGTGCATGATGGCGAGGTGAGCAGAAAGTGAATTCTCTCCCCCCAATTACCTGACCCTTACCCAGATACCCGCTGTAGGTCTCAAGAGGTAGGTACAAACTGTCCAACTGAAAAAAGTTTGACTGTAGCCCTGGCAAAATGTGTTTAGATACACATATAAAACGATCTGGTGTACACACTGAAGATGACTGAAGTTTTGTTTTTATCATGTTTATTCACACATATAAAAGTCATAAGGAATGGGCGTAGTAGAAAGAACTGCGAACATTAGTGACTTTTAAACATACAGTTCTAGATGATTTTTGTCTTTAAACAATATATCACGTGACTAACCACGGGTCCAGGTAGTCCTATGGGTACCCAGATCCTACTCATTACCGAACTGACCCGAGTAACTGAGTTACCCGTCCTGAACGCCCTAGACCACAGTCATATACTTAGAATATTGCTGAGTACGGGGTTAAACAACAAAGAAAGAAAGATAGAAATGTAAGCTATTGCTGAGTGCAGCATTGAACAACAAACAAGCAAGCTAAACCCAGTGTCTCCGTCTTGCAATACACACCGTTGCTTAAAACTTTGTGATGCTGGTTCAATGAGTGGAATATCGATGTTCCCTTCCAGTCCTGACTTTTCGGCCATGTCAACAAATACACTCCATCAGTGTGAACTGGCAACGTGGAAGTGACATCAGTAAACACACAAATTTATGACGTATCTCACATTAGTTCATGACCCGGATAAACCGCTTGTGGCAAAATGTGGATTAACGAGTTTACGTTGAAACTACTTTCAAAAACCTTTGAAATTCACTGAATATATGTTGAAAAAGGTCACTCAATTAGTTAAGTAAAATGTTTTAATTTTGAAATGTAACGATTTCAGCTAGGACAAGCACATTAGCGCGTATGTAGATATTGTCCAACATGGAAAAACATAACACCTTGCCATCATGCAAGTACAAACTGTCCGATTGAAAAAAGTTTGACTGTAGCCCTGGCAAAAATGTGTTTAGATACACATATAAAACGATCTGGTGTATACACTGAAGATGACTGAAGTTTTGTTTTTATTCAAACATATAAAAGTCATAAGGAATGGGCGTAGTAGAAAGAACTGCGAACATTAGTGACTTTTAAACATACAGTTCTAGATAACTTTTGTCTTTAAACAATATATCACGTGACTAACCACGGGTCCAGGTAGTCCTATGGGTACCCAGATCCTACTCATTACCGAACTGACCCGAGTAACCGAGTTACCCGTCCTGAACGCCCTAGACCACAGTCATATACTTAGAATATTGCTGAGTACGGGGTTAAACAACAAAGAAAGAAAGATAGAAATGTAAGCTATTGCTGAGTGCAGCATTGAACAACAAACAAGCAAGCTAAACCCAGTGTCTCCGTCTTGGAGTTTAACTTATTGTATTCACAATTGTGTGTTGTCATCATGGTCATGGTTACCGTGGTTACAGTGAACATGTCAGTTTGCCTTTTTCAAATTCTGAAATATTGATTTTGAGATTATTTTTCCCCCAAGCATTTATAGGGTTTGAAATCCATAACAGTCTTGCAAAAACAGTCTCACCTAATCAGTCGCAGACATAACATGTACGCGAGACGGCTCTGCCGCAGTACTCAGTGAAGCGCTTGATACTAATTAATTCAATCACTGGGGCTGTGCTGTCACCTGCGAAAGTAATTAAAGCGCTATGTAAAATCATCCACTACCAAGAGGGCCCCCAATCCACTCAAGGTCGTGACTGGCGGGTCGCTAATCATGCTTATTGTACACATGATAAACCAATGGTTAACGGCCCAAGCTCAATTACATTGAGGGGCGGTCGGGTAGCCTCGTGGTTAAAGCGTTCGCTTGTCACGCCGAAGACCCGGGTTCGATTCCTGACCTGGGTACAATGTGTGAAACCCAATTGTGGTGTCCCCTGCCGTGATATTGCTGGAATATTGCTAAAAGCGGCGTAAAACCATACTCACTCACTCACTCACTCACTCAATTACATTGACAACTTGCTGTGAGTGAATGAGTATGGTTTTACACTGCCTTGGACAATATTCCAGCAATATCACAACGGGGCCCCCAGAAATGGGCTTTACACATTGTCAGGAATCAAACCCAGGTCTTCGGTGTGATGGGCAATGCTTTAGCCACTAGGCTACCTGACTGCTCCTAATTTGCTGTGACATGGCTGGAATGTTGCTGACTGCTGTGATAAGCAGCACTAACTCATGCACTGACCTGTTTCTAGGCTAGCAGTATGGCCACGTGTGACAAGCAGGACGTAGGTGAGCAGCTGGGGAAGACGCTAGTGGAGGCGATATTCAACAAGTACATCGACGACATGGAGGTGGAGTGTGACGTTCATGTATTTGTGCCAAAAAGAGGCCCAGCAAAAATATCAGGTAAAGTTAATGATAATGGCCATGTGTTATACATATATATAGTGCTTTATTTCATCACTTACACATGTAAATCTGATTGTGTTTCAACGATTGCAGGAATATTGGAAACCAATTTTTTTTGTCATATTTGGATCGATGTTTGAAATCCTTTTGTTCAATTATTACCTCTAACTGTACTTCTGTAGCCTGGCAAAATATTTTTAGATACACATATAAAATGATCTGGTCATGCAGACACTGAAATTCTAGAATAGTTTTGTCATTAAACAATATATCACGTGACTAACATCGGGTCCAGGTGGCCCTACTCTTTACCCCCCCCCCGACCTGAGACGAGAGTTACCTGTCCCAGCCCTAGTCAGATGACAGCTTTCTGAAAAGATTCACCTTCCTTTCTTTACCAGGTCGTTTTGGACATAGATACACCATGTTTCTTCCATGGAACTCACTTTTTGTTGAAGGCAACATGGTGCCCAAAAAATGACAGGATGTGTAAACTATCCACAACACTATAACATCATTTGTAACATCGCTGCCTTAATTATTTACATTCAGAACAGAAGTTCATTTTTGAGGCAGATATGCTGGTTGATCTGAATGCTTTTCTCACTTCTGCTGTGAATTTAGCAGCTGGTTGCTGATTGGTTGATTAGAAAATTCACCTGATCAACCTCCAAAAGACGTTAAAAGATGTTACTTGTTGTTACCCTGTCTGGCGCTCGGCAGTAAGGGGCTAAAGCAAGGACTGGTCGGCTCGGAGTCAGTATGCTGTTTCTGAGTGGGGTATTCGTGTTAAACTGTGGCTAGGTATCTCACTCACTCACTCTTGTGATTCAGAATCGGGGGACCTCATCCTTCCCCGGAACCTCCATCTGACAGACTGTGATGTGGGCGTGGCTGGAGACTGTGACGAGCTACGCAGGATGTGTCAGGCCGTGTGTGAACTGGACCTTATGCAGAACAAGATTTCACAATGGACAGAGGTAAGAGTCATTTCATGTATGTTAGACCTCTTTGAACATGTTGAACCAGAGAGTATTTATTTTAAAAGGGAAATGTTTTTTATGATGCTTATGCTACTGTTATATATGTGTTATATATGCACATGCTCAAGTTTCTACTCGACACCACACCAGTAATCAGACTAAACAAACATAAAGGATTGGCGAGTTATGACACAACTCTGGGGATCGGACAACACAAACATAAAGGATTGGCGGGTCATGACAACACACCAGGGACCAGACAACACAAACATAAAGGATTGACTGGTTATAACAACACACCAGTGACCTGACAACACAAACATAAAGGATTGGCAGGTTATAACAACACACCAGGGACCAGACAACACAAACATAAAGGATTGGCGTGTTATAACACCACACCAGGGACCAGACAACACAAACAAAGGATTGGCGTGTTATAACACCACACCAGGGACCAGACAACACAAACATAAAGGATTGGCGCGTTATAACACCACACCAGGGACCAGACAACACAAACATAAAGGATTGGCGGGTTATAACAACACACCAGGGACCAGGCAACACAAACATAAAGGATTGGCACGTTATTACAACACACCAGGGACCAGACAACACAAACATAAAGGATTGACGGGTTATTACAACACACCAGGGACCAGACAACACAAACATAAAGAATTGACAGGTTATCCCTTAAACAACACACTATATCCATTCTCAATAAAATCAGTTGTTAGTGCTCGCCACTGCTATGCAAAGATCTGAGGGCATCCCATTCCAGGTTATGTCAGAATGACTTTTCCCAAAGTTTTTAACAGGAAGTTGACATAAGCCAGTCAGAAAACAGCTTTCTCATCCTTTAGGGCACTCGTTTCAAACTGGTGACTTCAGTTCCCCACTATGCTTTGAAAGATGATTTAAGTTCTCGATTCAAAATTTGACAACTGAAAAATTGGGCAGTACATCCCTCAGGCTATCACTGGACTATGTAATGACTCTACCATTTCAATTGTTTAGCCCATTGAAGCAAGGGAAAGACAGTCATTTTAATCAGTCATGCTTTTATTTGGAATGCCTAGTTCGAGGCTGCATGATTAGAAAACACTTCAGACTTTCATAAGCGCTGCTCTGATTGGTTGGATGAAAGGTAGTTCTGACGTAAACTGTAATGGGATGTCCTCAGATTTTTGTTTAGCGGTTTTGAGAACTAAATCTGATTTTAATGAGATTGGCCATATGTCCCAAACCTTGGACTTCACTGGACTATGTAATGACTCTACCATTTCAAATGTTTCGCCCATTGAAGCACGAGAAAGACAATGATTTTGACAGAATCAGCTTTTATTCGGAATGCCCAGTTTTAACGTTTTTGCGGTTGCATGATTAGAAAACACTTCAGACTTTCATAAGCGCCGCTCTGATTGGTTGGATAAAAGGTAGTTCTGACCTAACCTGTAATGGGATGTCCTCAGATTTTTGTTTAGTGGTTGTGAGAACTAAATCTGATTTTAATGAGATTGGCCATATGTCCCAAACCTTGGACCTCAGTGTTTTTGACTTTTAGCGAGTGTCAAAGAGTGTTCAAACTGCATCAACGGAAAACCTGGTTGATACAGGACAGATTGGCTTTTTATATGACATTCATTTATTTCTGCTTACAGGTCTTCAAAGTTATCAAAGAGATACCCAACTTGACCTTTCTGAACTTGACCTCTAACCCCCTGACCCCCTGTGAGGAGCTGGGTGACCCTGACCTTGTGTTCCCGGGGATGAAACAGCTGGTTCTAAACCACACCCACATCGACTGGGGCAGCATCGTGCGCATCCTCCACGTCTTCCCTGGGTAGGTCTTGTAATAAACATTTGTATAACAAGACTTGTGTCATGGGTAGGGACGGCCGGAGTTCAAGATCTCAGCTACATCGAGAGGTAACTAATATCTGCTGGCATTTTAGCTGATTTGATTTGACCTTGCAGAGATTTCAACCATAATGATTTGTGTAGAATGATAATGATTATCATTCCGCTGACCTTGAGAAGATATACTACTGCCATCTTGTGTCAACTGCCCAGTGTTAGGATCAAACATTGCTGCAGATTGTGTCATTAAACCACTAACTTTTCTCACAGCCTAAATGAACTGCACCTGAGTCTCAACGGCTACAGTGACGTCAACTTCCCTGATGACTTCTCCTACCCAGCTCTGCACAAGCTTCACTTCAACGGCAACTCCGTCACAGACTGGTCGCAGTTCAAACAACTGGGCCACACATTCACGCAGCTGAGGAACCTAGTCCTGACGACCTGTGAACTAACATCACTTGGAGAAGAAGAGGAAATCGCTGCAGCTTTCCCTCACCTGTGTGTGTTGAACATCAACAAGACACGTGTTGGCAGCTGGGGGGAGATTGACAAACTGAGACTGTTTCCGGCCCTGACCGATGTCCGAGTTGTCGGCATCCCACTTTTTGAGGTGAGAAGGTCACAACTGGTCAAAGGTGGTCTGTGTATATTATAGTCAGCCATTACCTGTTTGTGTGTAGACCACACTGTGTCCTGCCTGTTTATGTATGGTCAGTTGCTTGAATGTCTGTCTGACCATCAGCCTGTCTGTCTGTCTGACCATCTGCTTGTCTGTCTGTCTGACCATCTGCCTGTGTGTCTGTCTGACCATCAGCCTGTGTCTGTCTGACCATCTGCCCGTGTGTCTGTCTGACCATCTGCCTGTGTGTCTGTCTGACCATCTGCCTGTGCCTGTCTGATCATCTGCCTGTGTGTCTGTCTGACCATCTGCCTGTGTGTCTGTCTGACCATCTGCCTGTGTGTCTGTCTGACCATCAGCCTGTGTGTCTGTCCGACCATCTGCCTGTGTGTCTGTCTGACTATCTGCCTGTGTGTCTGTCTGACCATCTGCCCGTGTGTCCATCTGACCATCTGCCTGTGTGTCTGTCTGACCATCTGCCGGTGTGTCTGTCTGACAATCTGCCTGTGTGTCTGTCTGACCATTTGCCTGTGTGCCTGTCTGACCATCTGCCTGTGTGTTTGACCATCTGCCTGTGTGTCTGTCTGACCATCTGCCTGTGTGTCTGTCTGACCATCTGCCTGTGTGTGTCTGACCATCTGCCTGTGTGTCTGTCTGACCATCAGCCTGTGTGTCTGTCCGACCATCTGCCTGTGTGTCTGTCTGACTATCTGCCTGTGTGTCTGTCTGACCATCTGCCCGTGTGTCCATCTGACCATCTGCCTGTGTGTCTGTCTGACCATCTGCCGGTGTGTCTGTCTGACAATCTGCCTGTGTGTCTGTCTGACCATTTGCCTGTGTGCCTGTCTGACCATCTGCCTGTGTGTTTGACCATCTGCCTGTGTGTCTGTCTGACCATCTGCCTGTGTGTCTGTCTGACCATCTGCCTGTGTGTCTGTCTGACCATCTGCCTGTGTGTGTCTGACCATCTGCCTGTGTGTCTGTCTGACCATCTGCCTGTGTGTTTGACCATCTGCATGTGTGTCTGTCTGACCATCTGCCTGTGTGTCTGCCCATCTGCCCGTGTGTCTGTCTGACAATCTCCCCATGTGTCTGTCTGACCATCTGCCCGTGTGTCCGTCTGCCCGTGTGTCTGTCTGACATGTCTTTGTGTCTGTTCATCAGTCATGTTTATGTTAATATGTCTGTCTGACTGTCTGACCTTTCTTCTGTTCGCTGTATTTATGTCTGTCAATTTGTAAGTCTGTCTTTTCATGTGTCTGACTGACTGTCTGTCTGTCTGTTTAACTATCTGTCTGACCTTTCTTGTTTGTCTTTTCCTGTGTCAGTCTGACCATCTGCCCGTGTGTCTGTCTGACCATCTGCCTGTGCCTGTCTGACCATCTGCCTGTGTGTCTGTCTGACCATCAGCCTGTGTGTCTGTCTGACCATCTGCCTGTGTGTCTGTCTGACTATCTGCCTGTGTGTCTGACCATCTGCCCGTGTGTCCATCCGACCATCTGCCTGTGTGTCTGTGTGACCATCTGCCTGTGTGTCTGTCTGACCATCTGCCTGTGTGCCTGTCTGACCATCTGCCTGTGTGACCATCTGCCTGTGTCTGTCTGACCATATGCCGGTGTGTCTGTCTGACCATCTGCCTGTGTGTCTGTCTGACCATCTGCCTGTGTGCCTGTCTGACCATCTGCCTGTGTGCCTGTCTGACCATCTGCCTGTCTGTCTGTCTGACCATCTGCCTGTGTGTATATCTGACCATCTGCCTGTGTGTTTGACCATCTGCATGTGTGTCTGTCCGACCATCTGCCTGTGTGTCTGACCATCTGCCCATGTGTCCGTCTGACCATCTGCCCGTGTGTCCGTCTGACATGTCTTTGTGTCTGTTCATCAGTCATGTTTATGTTAATATGTCTGTCTGACTGTCTGACCTTTCTTCTGTTCACTGTATTTATGTCTGTCAATTTGTAAGTCTGTCTTTTCATGTGTCTGACTGACTGTCTGTCTGTCTGTTTAACTATCTGTCTGACCTTTCTTGTTTGTCTTTTCCTGTGTCTGTCTGACCATCTGCCTGTGTGTCCGTCTGACCATCTGCCTGTGTGTCTGTCTGACATGTCTTTGTGTCTGTTCATCAGTCATGTTTATGTTAATATGTCTGTCTGACTGTCTGACCTTTCTTCTGTTCACTGTATTTATGTCTGTCAATTTGTAAGTCTGTCTTTTCATGTGTCTGACTGACTGTCTGTCTGTCTGTTTAACTATCTGTCTGACCTTTCTTGTTTGTCTTTTCCTGTGTCTGTCTGACCATCTGCCTGTGTGTCCGTCTGACCATCTGCCTGTGTGTCTGTCTGACTGTCTGTCTGTTTAACTATCTGTCTGACTGTCTGTCTCTCTACTTCCATCTCGTCTGTCCATCACATTGCTCACTGTTTTTGCAGGATATTCCCGACAAGAAGCGGCGTCAATTATTGATAGCACGGACCCCCAACATTGCTTATCTAAATGGAAGTGTAGTTCCTGCCCAGGAGAGAGAAGATGCAGAGAGGGCCTTTGTGAGACATTACATGGGTGAAGACAGCAAGCCAGCACGGTAGGTGTCCTCTGTGGGTCACCTAGCCCTTCAGAACTGGCATGATATGGGGGCAGGGGGGTAGCCAAGGGGTTGAAGTGTTTTGCTTGTCAGTCAGCATGGTCAGAAGACCCCAGATTGATTCCTAACCTGGGTACAGTGTGGGATGTCGTTTTCTCGATCTCGGCCATTTCTGTTCAAAATGCAATAAAATTTGATGAATGTGTAGTTGGTATGGGGGCTCAACATATGTGTTCCGTTTTTTTGCCATATTTTAATTTTGACCTTGATTTGACTTCAACAATATGGGCAGCTAAGACTTGCCATGGCCATGACTCAGATTTTCTTGTTCAACAGGTTATGGTGTTCGTCATGAGTATGTTGGATAAACGAAATTAAGTAGTAACAACGTTCGTGATCGAAAATGGGACAGCGCTGTGGAATGAGTCGGAGTGCAAGACTGTCAGATTAATGGGTCTAAATAGCACTGATTTAATGGGTTCCCATCATTAGTGTCGGATAACAAGTGTCGGATTAACAAATAATGATCTATTTATGAAAAAGGTCCCAAAATTGTTTGAAGGAAACTTTCAATTACTATGATGATATATATATATTTTTTTTCAGCATTGGTTATGAGTTTCATAGTACCTACCTGTATTTTATGAAAATACTGAAATACGAATAAATAAAATCTTAAATGTGCCTCCCGAATTAGTGACATGATTGTGAAATTTACTTTTACTATATATATTTACACACATTTCAAATGTCTCATTGTGAGTATTTAGTTGTTTGAATAGAATACAATATGAATAGAACTGGTCATGAACTGGTGCCTTGTGTTCCATAGCAACAAATTCGATTCAAGTTCCGCCCTGTGAATACCGGTAGGTCTTCAGCAACCCATGCTTGCCGTAAAAGGCGACTGCTTGTCGTAAAAGGCGACTTCGGGATCGGGTGGTCAGACTCGCTGACTTGGTTGATGCATGTCATCGATCCCAAGTGCATAGACCGATGTTCATGATATCAATCACTGGATTGTCTGGTCCAGACTTGATTATTTACAGACCGCCGTCATATAGCTGGAATATTGCTGAGTGCAGCGTTAAACAACAAACCAACCAATTGATTCAAGTTCAAATACGTGAACCATGTGTCCACACTTATCAATCAAGAGCTCATCTGGTGACTTTTATGCTTCTGAAATACTTTTCTTTAATATTTAATAAAAATGGCTAAATGTACAATTCAGCTTGCAAATAATCAGTTTTCGATGGTATCATTGATCATTTAGAACAAATCCTGGGCGGTTCTTATGGTTCGATGCTTGGGTCTTTAAATACACTTGTTTGGTAATACGAGTATTAAATGCTTGTTTATAACACTGATGACCTTCTCATGTGGACTGGTTAATGGCTGTATTTGCTTGGCATCACTTTAGTGATATAACTGTCTTGTTTCAGATATGAGGAACTTGAAGCCCGCTATGGTAAACTCGACGCCCTGGTAAACATTGACCTGACACCCCCATCATCCTGCAAAGTTACTGTGATCTGTGAAGACAAGCAGGAAGAAATGGACGTCTGTGTCAATCAAACTGTCACCCAGTTCAAAAAGTTCTTGTCAAACTTTGTGGGCCATCCTCCATCCAAATGGGTGCTCTTCTATCATGAAACACAGCTTAATTTTGGCCCCAGTCGGATGTTGTATCCTAATCGAAAATTGTATGCATATAATGTGAGTGATGGGGACGAATTTATCATTTACATGAAATCATGATAAAAATGATAATATATATACTCCTGAAAAAAAGGCAAGCACCAGTGGGCTTTGATGAGTCTAAATTTACTAACCAGGTAGGTACTTGACACCCTATTGGGTAGTTCAAATTGTTCACTTTGCAATGTGTATGTGGATAGCTATCTTTCCAAGGCAAGAGAGTTAACTGACTTTAAAGGTCCAGTTTCCACCCTTGCTGAACTAGGATGGAATTCCTAGGCTCGATCGTAGCACCACCAGTGGTTATTACGAGTTATGTCCCTTCTAAACCTCTCCTAAGGACCAATCAGATTCCACCTCTCGTATCACTTGCATTTGATTCAAACAAAAGGGCGGCGCCCAGTCAAGATGATCTGATCGATAATCAAGATCTATATTGTGATAAAATGGGTCTTACATCGCGAAGTGCATCAAATCATGTAAGCACCTTGATTTAAAACATGAAAAGGCTTGGAAAATATCTGTTGTTGCCAAGTTGGTGGTACACATGTTTTGCAAATCCTGCAATCAACCGAAATCTGCATGACAGTTTATGAACCGGATTTCAATTTCATTGTGCGATTTTGATTGGACTGTGCATCGACTCGTTTGTCCAGCCAAAATAGAACTCCATAATTCCAGCCTAGTTCGGCAAGGGTGGAAACTGGAATTTTATAGTGAGTTAACTCTCTTGCCTTGGGAAGATGGTGGATATCCTGTTAAACACATAGCTTACCTCATTAGTGTCTTTATTTAAAACAAATGGTGTAAATAAAATGATTTTATGAATTATTCTCTCACAATATCAGTCTACCAAATGAAAAAAAACAAAACAATTTGTTGACGAATATAATTTTGACGTCATGATCTCTCGTAGTTGCTGTCCCTCCATCTTTGAAGTACGTTGTTGACTATGTAAGGATAAGATGTATGGATGCACAATTTCTTAATTACAATTAGGAGCGATGTTTTGGTGTGGGTAGGGCTGGCTATCGATATAGATCACTGAGATCGATAAACGTTAACTAAGTGTCCATCAATTATCGATAAATATCGCAGAAGTAACTTTGAGCAAATATGCAAAAAGCTGAGAGAGAAGACAACATATTTCATGTCACGGGTGAGATGGTACAAATTTATGCATGGATTACATTGTGGACATTTAAGATAAGTTGCTTTCTGTCTTTGGCAATGGACAGATATAAGTCTGCTTCGGTACATTAACAATGTATTCATCACATTAGTTTATGTAAGATATCAATGACACAATTTTCACATTGATAATCATAAAAATTTCTTTTCATTCAAAATATTTTCAATTATCAATCTTTTTGCAGCCCCAGGTGTAGGTATCAACACCTATTTCAAGCAAGTGATGAACCTACACTGAAACGTCACTCCTATTTGTAATATAGAAGTTTTTCATCCATATATCTTATCATTACTTAGTACTCCAACTTCTAAATGTTACATTGTTCACAACCAGATAGGGGCGGTCGGGTAGCCTAGTGGTTAAGGCGTTCGCTCGTCACACCGAAGACCCGGGTTCGATTCCCGACATGGGTACAATGTGTGAAGACCATTTCTGGTGTCCCCCGCCATAATATTGCTGGAATATTGCTAAAAGCGGCGTAAAACCATACTCACAACCAGATAATAAATAAATATATTTTTTGTGGATATGATTTTTTTCTCCAAAAAGCAAAGACTTTACTGCTGACAGGTAACATCGAAAATAGCAGGTACCAAAATAAGCACTGATATCCTGCTATTACACTGTCTATTTATGAAAACGGATAATTCTCTATCTGGCTTTCTGTTTATGATCTATTTTATTAAATTTATTCAAAATTTCAGTCAATGTTTAATTTCAGTGAAATTGTGCGTGAACTGACCGTCAAATGAAACCAACTCACCGTTATCTATAGTATCCACGATCATAGACTGCTCTTGACATCTTGAGCACTAGTTTCCCGGAAATGACTACATATTGGACTCGGTACATATTGTCTTGGGTGATGAAAAAATGACAGCGAAAGAGGCTGGGTGAGCGCAAAATGTATCACAGCTTTATGACCAATTATTGCAGGGGGGTGGATATTAATATGGATTCTGTACGACTGTCCATGCAAGATGTCATTTCTGAAGCATATCTTGAAAACCGTTATATATTTCTCCACCATGCTTGGTACATAGATAGGTACCAACTGGTGCCTTTTGATATTTTATTTTATTTTTTAAAACTATTTTTTGAAGTTTCAATAGCAACAACTTTGACTGAGGCTGAAAATGGCGGTAGTTCTTGTATCCAAAGCTTGAAAAACGTACATTTTTTCACCAAACTTGGCACATTGACATCTTGAGCCTTTTGAAAGTTTGGGATTTTATTAACCAAATATTTTTTGAGTTTCCATGGCAACAAGTTTCATACATTTATCCACGCCATTATGGGGGATATTGATGACTTTGTCCTCTTGTTACAGCCATTATATAATACTGTACATCAGAGGACTTACCTCAGGTCTCACCATGCCTTCTCTATATTCAAATATATCTCTTGAAGATCTGGGGTAGAATAGGTCTTCAGCAACCCATGCCTGCCATAAAGGCGACCATGCTTGTCGTAAGAGTCGACTAAAGGGATCGGGTGGTCAGACTCGCTGACTTGGTTTGATGCATGTCATAGTATCCCAATGGCATGGATCGATGCTCATGATATCAATCACTGGATTGTCTGGTCCAGACCCGACTATTTACAGACCGCCATCATATAGCTGGAATATTGCTGAGTATGGCGTTAAACAAAAATACAATCAAACAAATATATCTCTTCGAAATACATGTATCTACAAATGTCCTTGATCTCACTGTGTACAATGTGTGAAGCGTTATCAACCTGCATATATATATGTGTGTGTGTGGCATGTTCTAGTCCTGACTAATGATGGTTTTATACAATCTCATTAAAATCAGATGTTAGTTCTCGCTACCGCTAAACAAAGATCTGTGGACATCCAATTAGGGGTCACGTCAGAACGACCTTTCACCCGACCAATCAGAGCGTCGCTTACCAGATCATGAAAGTGACAGTCGGAATGTGATTTCTTATCATGCAACCCCGAAAACGTTTTACACGGGGTATTCCGAACGATAGTTACAGGGTTAACGACTGAATCCATACAATAAAGACATCTATTAGCCATTCCAGAATGTTCTTTTGTTCAGGTTTAAAATTTTTAATCGAGAATGTCAAAATATGTTTCGAAGCGTAGTCGCAAATTTGAAATTAGTGCCGTAAAGCACGAGTAAGGTGCCTTCTGATTGGCTAATGTAGACTTCTCGTCAGTCATTCCATTGGTCGATCAAAGTTCGCACAAGGTCGGTCTGACATGACCCGTAATGGGATGTCCTCAGATCTTTGTTTAGCGGTAGCGAGAACTAAGATCTGATTTTATTGAGATTGGGTTTTATAGTGCTAACCCACTCCGATACCAAGCCGCAGATAAACGTGTATACTCACTCCATTCACACACAGCATTCTGACTCCCGAGTCAATGTTGGTCTGATGCCACCAGGCATTGAAACCACTGGGATGCAACGAATACACTATGAGGCGAATATGATTCGTTTCATGAATATAGGGTAACAAATACGAATATTAATTCACGAATACAATAACAAGTCAGCAGCTGATGTATTATTTGTTATTTTCAATGAAACATTAACACAACTTATTTGACATGGTTTGTTAACTATTAATATATTGTACATTTATATACTGCAATTATCCAGTGACCAGTGACCACAATACTGTCAAATTAAATATCATACAAGTGTTATCTATGAAGAAATCTATGAATATAATATGTTCTTATGGATATTTTTAGGTACAGGGTATGTGAATGCACATGATTGCATATTCATAAATATTCGATTCTAGTGGCCACGAATAACGAATTCAATTCATGAATGGATACGGTTCGATTCACGGAATATGCGAGTGAATCGTAACAGCCCTACTGCCCATCACTTTCCAGACACACACTCTATCCACTGGACCACCAAGGGAGTATGGACAGACAGAATTAGGCTCCAGTATTTGTCTTACTTGCCGAGGTAGAATAGGTCTTCAGCAACCCATGCTTGCCGTAAAAGGTGACTATGCTCGTCATAAAAGGCGACTAACGGGATTGGGTGGTCAGGCTCGCTGACTTGGTTGATGCATGTCATCGATCCCAATTGCGTGGATCGATGCTCATGATATTAATCACTGGATTGTCTGGTCCAGACTCGATTATTTACAGACCGCCGTCATATAGCTGTAATATTGCTGAGTGTGGCGTTAAACAACAAACAAACCAAACCAAACCAAACCAATCTTACTTGCCTAAGAATGGGGTGAAATTCCCCAGGCACAAACTGTATCCACATCCCACCAGAGGAGTCTGGAAACCAAATTGCGCACATATATTTGCCTTGTGAACAGTGTGAAATTCACACACAGCATTCTTACTCCCGAGTACACCAGTCGAGTGCCAGGCAGGGTAACTACAGGTCTTTCATGTCTTAATGTTGGTATGATGCCACCAGGAATGGAAACCACTGACCATCACTTTCCAGGCACACACTCTATCCACTGGACCACCAAGGGAGTATGGAAACAGACAGAATTTGGCTCCAGTATTTGTCCTCCTTGGCTAAGAATAGGGTGAAATTCCCCAGGCACACACAGTTTCCACAGACCACCAGAGGAGTCTGGAAATGAAATTGCGCACAGGTATTTGCCGTGTGAACAGTGTGAAATTCAAGGCGTTAATCCCATTCCTTGGCATCCCCTGCTGTGACATGGTGTGGATACTGCTAAAAGCTGTGTTAAAGCAGACTTGGTCTTTCAGAAACAGATCAGTGACACTAATGCCACCGTGGAGTCCATGTTCTTGTGTGTGTTTGGTGTTCAAATTGTTTTACCTCCTTGTGTTATGCAGTAACATTTCATTCATATGTTATATATCAATGGTGTGATGTTCAATCAGATGTACGAATATCATCTAATGCACAAGATAAGTCCAGTTTGAAATAATTCTTATTTCTTCAAATTTGTTTTTATAAACGTGATGAAAAGAGGGCTTATACATTTTTGAAATTATATTTTTTCTGTTAATTACAAATCTGTTGATGTGAACTAATGTTATTAAGTGTAATAAATGCTTACATTATGTTGAATGTGTGTGAGTTAATTTATTTTATACTCAGGATCACATCAAGACCATCAATCTCCAAGTTGTATGAAGCGTT